ATGCTGAAGAAAAGTTTTGTGGGTATGTAAGAAGCATTATGTATAGCAAGAAAAAGTTTGTGTGCTACTGTGTTTTTATTTATTAATTATTTCCCGGGCGAATATAATTCCTCGTTGCATCACCGAATGAGAAGGCTCATGCGTAAGTTTTATGTAGTTTGCAGTTGTTGATAACTTAATACTTTGTGCCGAAAAACCGGACAAATTCGAAGGAATCAGACTAGTTAGCCCGTTAAATTGGGAAGCGATCCAGTTAGGCGATTTTTTCCAATTCTTCCTCGAAAATGAGCCTGGTCGGGATAAATTGGGAAGCGAGCCTGGTGATATGTTACCGAAGAAGTTGGTCCCCACTAAATTCGCGTGATCTAGGTTTGCCAGAGTAAAAAAGCTCGTCGGGATACGCCTTCAAATGTGTTCTCCTACAGATGAAGGTCCTGCAGCAGCAACCACGAGGCTATGTCGGGAGGAATTTCTCCGGAGAGGGAGTTTTGGTCAGTTGCACTACCGTGTGCCTTGGCACACCTAGCTAGGTGTGCCAAGGCACAATTGCACGCGCCTTTCACACTTCAAAATTAGAAAAATTAGGAGAGTGTAGTGCACATCCCCAATTTTTTATTTTTAATTGAAAAATGAGACATTATACATTAATTAAAATATCATTAATTATTTATATTAAAAAAATAAAATAAAAATACCAAAATTCATAATTTTTCATTATCTATGAATAGAGACCACATTTTATAGGTTTTTTAACAAAACTATTTTTTCGTTTTATAATATGTTCACCTTATTGTGTATGTAACATGTTCATCTTATTCTATAACATGTTCATTTTATTATGTAACATGTTCATCTTATTCTATAACATGTTCATTTTATTAATGTAACATGTTCATCTCATTTCATAACATGTTCATCTAAATTTCATCTGTGAAAATATAACATTTTCATCTTATTAGAGAGAATTTTGGTTTGTGAAGGTGGAGGATATTCGATCGAAAGACTAATTTATGGAATTTCTTTTACATTCTACTAGTTTTTCACTTTCATTCACAATAGTATGATTATTGCATAAATTTGAGTTCTTAACTGTAGATTATGGTTTATTATTTCAGGGCGGGGATGCTTGCATTAAACGAGTGAAAGTCGAGCAAGAAATTGACCAGAATTTTGTGTATGAAGTGGAAATGAGAGAAAATAATGTGAGAGTCCGTTATGTAGATATGGAATCTAAACATGTTCAGCTTATTCTAACATGTTCATTTTATTATGTAACATGTCCATCTTATTTTATAACATGTTCATTTTATTAATGTAACATGTTCATCTCATTTTATAACATGTTCATCTAAATTTTATCTGTGAAAATGTAACATTTTCATTTTATTAGAGAGAATTTTGGTTTGTGAAGGTGGAGGATATTCGATCGAAAGACTAATTTATGGAATTTCTTTTACATTCTATTAATTTTTCACTTTCAATCCCTATAGTATGACTATTACATAAATTTGAGTTCTTAACTGTAGATTATGGTTTTTTATTTCAGGGCGGGGATGCTTGCATTAAACGAGTGAAAGTCGAGCAAGAAATTGACCAGAATTTTGTGTATGAAGTGGAAATGGGAGAAAATAATGTAAGAGCCCGTTATATAGATATGGAATCTAAACATGTTCAGCTTATTCTATAACATGTTCATTTTATTATGTAACATGTTCATCTTATTCCATAACATGTTCATTTTATTATGTAACATGTTCATCTTATAATTTGAATCGATTATACTATAATTGAATAGATCATACTAGAAATGACTCGATTATACTAGAATTTACTCGATCATATTAGAATTTGACTAGATTATACTAAGTTTGACTCGAGTATACTAGAATTTGACTCGATTATACTAGAATTTGATTCGATTATACTAAGTTTGACTCGACTATACTAGAATTTGACTCGATTATACTAGAATTTGACTCGATTATACTAGAATTTGACTTGATTATACTAAGTTTGACTCGACTATAGTAGAATTTGACTCGATTATACTAAGTTTGACTCGACTATACTAGAATTTGACTCGATTATACTAAGTTTGACTCGACTATACTAGAA